AAAGGAATGGAAGACAAGTGTAGACAACAGATAGTGTGAAAAGAGGGTGGGAAAGAACAGAGTGTAAGAAACAGGGGTAAAAGAACTAGAAAAAATAGGTGTAAAAAAACTATGAAACTAGAATTGGAAAATTTTTGATGATAACATACATGATTAAGTCACTATGCAGTATACTCTGGATGGGAAACCACATTTAGTATGCTGTGACGATGATTATGGGATGAATGTAAATTAATTACTTTAAAAAAAGTTTCAGGTGGAAAAAAAAACACAAAAATTGTTTTTCTTGAAATTAAAAAATGCATATTTGATGACTGCAGTAAGCTATATACCCCCAGCTAGATACTACTTTATAGTATGTTCATTCTACACACTGAGGTTTATGTCTAAAGTCAGCCTTGTGTTCATGGATATGTATATATCAGCTGCGCTTGCTACTGGAAATATTTAGATTAATTAAGCTCATTAGCAAATCAATAAAATGGGAGGGAAATGCAAAGAAAGCAACCATGGATACCAGAGACAGTGTGGGAGGAGGGTAGGACACAGCAGAGGGTGAGAGGTAGGGATGGCAAAAGCAAAACATACAGGAAACAAGAAATGGAGAAGTATTTGTTGACGATAACACGTATGTTGATGTGCTTGACTGAGCCAAAATATGGTGTATTCTGGATGGGAAATCTCATTTTGTCAGCTGTAATGATGTATAGTGAGTGAATGTAAATAAATAAATTTAAATTTTAAAAAATCACAATGAGATACCACTTAACCACAGTCAGAATGGCTAAAATTAAAAAGATAAATAATGAGAAGTGCTGGTGAGGCTCTGGTGAAAAACAAACTCTCCTACACTGTTGATAGAAATGCAAATTAGTACAACCACTTTGGAGAACCATATGGAGATTCCTCAGAAAGCTACAAATAGAACTACTGTACAACCCATTAACTCCACTTTTAGGTATTTATCGAAAGGATAGAAAAATCCTCAGTCAGAAACACACTTGCATATCCACGTTTATTGCAGCATTATTTATAATCACTAGGACATGGAATCAACCCAAATGTCCAAAAATAGATGATTAGATTGAGAAATGTGGCATATGTACTCTTTGGAATGCTACTCAGCCATATTAAAAAAAAAAAAAGAAACCCTGACATTTGATACAAAGTGCACAAATATGAAAGACTTGATAGGCAAAACAAGTCAAACTATGAAAGACAGATTGTATGTCCCCACTCAATATACTGCAATCTATGACAGAAATTGAGAGTTTGGAAGGTATAGTAACAGGAAGGGCAGTGGTAAATACCAGAGATAGTAAGGATAGGGGTAATATGGGGGTGGGTAATGGTGGGAGAGAGGAAGGGAACGGGAAAGAAAAAGAAAAAAAAATACGCATAATTGGCCAAAAAATGAAAAGCTTTTGCTGCTGCTGATGTGTATAGTAATGTCTTTGTCTTGACTGATGCAAGGTAATCATGCTGGAAAAACAAATTTTATACATTGTAAAGATATATGTGATTTGGAACCAGCACATCATAACTAGATTGGTAAACATTAAAGATAAAGACAATATTCTAAAAATGTCAAGGGAGAAACATCAAGTTACTTATAAAGGCTATCCCATTAAGCTAACATCAGACTTCTCAACTGAAATAATGCCAGCAAGGAAGGAATGGGAAAATGTGATCGAAACATTAAAATAGGGACCAGCAGTTGACATAATGGCTATGTTGCTGGACTCTGGAGAGGAGAATGGAGGAGAAAGGATTGAGGCATGGCCATCCGCCCGGAGGGGTGAGTTCTCGCATTCTGTCTCTCTGTCTCTCTCTGTCTTTCTGGAGAGCTCACACGCCCTATAGCAAAAACTTCTAAAAAAAGAAAAATCTACAACTATGAGGCCAATAGGTGGTATGGTGGCTTAGGGCACTGGACTCCCACAGAGCTGACCACGGTTCGAGTCCTGAGCCTGACAGCTTGCTTTCTCACTTCCCCTACCCTACTCTGTCTCTCTCTGGTCAAATTAAAATTAATTAATTAAATTAAAATAATTTTTAAAAATCTACAAATAAAGTTGTCATACTATCCAGTAAGTCTACTCTTGGGTATCTACCCAAAGGATAGTAAAACAGTCCAAAAAACACTTGCACATTCATGTTTATTGCAGCATTATTCACAATTACTAAGACATGCATTAGCAATGTCCAAATGTCCAAGAACAAATGATGGATTGAAAAGTTGTGGCATATATACACTATGGAATACTATTCAGCCATAAAGAACAGTGAGACCTTGACATTTCATATGAAGTGGACAAATATGAAAGATTTAATGCTAAGTGAAGCAAGCCAGACTATGAAAGACAGGCATAGTATGTCCCTACTTAATATGAATGTCTGTGCTCTATGGCAAAAACTGAAAGGCTGGAGAGTCTAATAGTAGGGAGGACAATTGAAAATATCAGAGACAGTATAGGAGGGGTGGGTAGTAGGGGGTGGGAGGAAAGAGTTCAGGGGAAAAAACTTAACAGAAACAAAACTGGCAAATTATCTGTTGATGATAATATACATGGTAATATCTATGACTTGATTAATATGCACTGTATTCTTGCTGAGAAAAACCATGTTGTGTGCTATAAAGATGTACAGTGATTAAATGTAAATTTAAAAAGTACAATTAAAAAAGTGACGGGCTGGTAAGAAGTAATAATAATAGTAGTAGTAGCTTGGAAAAGTATAATTAAAAGGAGAATAGTGGGCAATATGAAATGCAAAATACATATTTAAAAAAGGGTCTTCAGGGCTGGCAGGTGGCATGGTAGTTAAGGGCGCTGGACTCCCACATGGTGGAGCATGGGAGTCCAGTCCTGGACCTGGCAGCTTACTTTCTCTCTCTCTTTCTCTCTCTCTCTCTCTTTCCCCCCTTCTCTGGTCAAATTAAAATAAATAAATAAATAAATAAATAAAGTTAAATAAAATAATTCTTAAAAAAAAAAAAAAGGTCTTCTGGGAATATTACCAGTTTCACAACTGTGTGTGTGTGAAATTCCCTAAAGCTCAGAAGGCAGGTGAGTTTACATCCATGTTTAGGGATACTTAGGACATCTTCATTAACTGAAAAAAATAATAATATCATCTATACAGGTGTGATTTATAACTAGAATTCAGCACATTAAATATTCATTTATAGGGACCAACAGATGGCGTAATGGTTACGTCGCTGAACTCTCATGTAGTTGACTGCAGTTCAAGTCCCAGACCCTGTGGCTTAAACTCATGCCAGGCACGTGTGCATGTGTGCCCAAGATCCCGAGAGGAGGATGGAGGAGAAGGGATTGCGGCCTGGCCATCCCTCCTGGGGGAGTGACTTCTCGCCTTCTGTCTCTGTCTCTCTCCTTCTGGCGAGCACACACATCCTATAGCGAAAAAAAAAAGCTCTCAAAAACAGAACACATCTCATTTATAACACCTAAATAAATCTATAATTAAAATGTATATAAAACATTGATATTCTTGTATCTTGATAATTTTTTTTTAATTTCTGTATGTGTGAAAAGAACCAGGGACTATAGTCATTCAGTTATGCTTTTTCTCAGTTAAAACACTGCAACAAAAGGCAATTGGTTCCTAAAAAATTGAGTGAGGTGGGATTCATTTGTTTTCATTCAATTTAATTTAATAACTGTTAATTAATGATAAATGGCCTTTTTAAATTCAGATTTATTTAACTTTTATTTATGGTCATTATTATTATTTTAATTTACCAGAGATAGAGAGAAAGTGAGAAAGCAAACCACCAGGTCTGGGACTCAAACCACGACTGGCTGTGAGGGAGTCCAGTGCCTTAACCACCACACTACCCACTGGCCCCATGTCAGTATATTCTTATCTACATACAAGGTCTTGTATTAAATAAAATCAAAGTTTTTTGGTGAAAAATAATTTAAGAATAAAAAGCCATTTCTGAGGCCAGCAGGTAGCACAGAGGTTAAGGTACTAGATTCCCACATGGTTGACAGCAGTTTGAGTCCCAAACCCAGCAGCAGCTTGGAAATTCACTTTGGGCACGTATGTATGCAAACAAACAAAAATGTCTTAATCTACACAATGAGAGTAATTTCTACGTGCTAGGTTGTTAGTCTAAGGCGAGCTGTGTAAACATTTACTATAAAGGAAAGGTTCATTCCCAGCCAACTCTTACACAGAATTTTTTTTTTTTTTGGAGAGGTTTTTTTTTTTTTTTTTTTTAGGGCGGGTGGGCCTCGCCACACGCA